TGATTTTGACAAATACTTCTTACAAAGTATTGTAAAGACAATATTACTTTCTCTTGTATAAAAAGAATATTATATTAAAAATTAGCATTTAATTACATTATTAATGTCATAGACACAAAATACAGACTTGAAATCTAACAAGAAGTTCAAGAAGAAGTGGCAGAACTAGATTAAACAGATGAGTACAAGAACAACACCAGAAAGGTGAGCTAGAACTCCAAGAGATGTGTTGTCGAGACTGAAGAACCCTTCAGCCTCGACTCCTATATATACTACTGAATAGGAAGCTTCTCGAGCTACTTCCGCTAACTAGGACGCTTCTCCAACAACTTCTACTAATTAGGAAACTTCTCGAGCAACTTCCTAGAATCTATCAGAATATTCTAGAATCTTCTAAGAATATTCTAGAACCTTCTAAGAGAATCTTTAGGGAATATTCTAAGAATATTCTAGAACCTTCTAAAGGAATCTTTAGAGAATCTTTAGAGAATGTTCTAGAAGAATATTCGAAGAATCTTCCAATGTATGTCCATGACAATTAATGCCTTAAGTTCTTTAAAAGCTAAAATAAATTTTGCCTATTTTGGTTATTCTACATGAAGTATTAAACTTTAGTATTTTCTTATTTTTTAATTAAGAGTAGAAAAATCTTATGGAGTTTATGCTCTACTAATTATTTTTAGAAAAATATTTTTTGGAAATAGTTATGATTTTTTAAAGATTTGGACCCCAAATAGGGCCGTTTGGGCAAAGATGTTTGCCAAACACATAACAACTACAAGTTTGAGCAATTTTGGGAGCAATATGACAACAATATTCTAAGGCAATGTGTCCAATGTTGATCCAATGCAAAGTTTTAAAAGTTATTTTCTTGAAAGGCGTGGTTTTTGGCATTTTGGAGTTTGGAAGGTAAGATAACACAAAAAACTTTAGAATTTAAACATCTCATGTAGAATTTACTAAAAAATAATTGAAAATAAATTAAAATTAATATTCAATAAAGTGATTTTCTTAAATCAATTTACTTTTCTACATTTTTGTTTTATATTAGATAATAACTTGGTAATCTAAAGACTAGAAATTAGACCAAAACTTCTAAATATTGTTAATTCTCTCCTTAAATATTTCTTTTAAAATCATATTACAAAATACTATGAAAGTTTTATTTGAATTTTTAAAATTATTAGGCTTCAAAATTATTATTTTTATGTGATCAAAAAGAAGATAATAAACAAATTAAAATCAAATAATAAGTGAAATATTTAGAATAGATAGATTTTTTATATGATACTTTCTAATCAAGATACAAGACAAATGTTGATTCTTAGTTCTTTACCTATATATGATACTTTAAAGATACTTAATATAGACAACTAAGAAACTAAAAAGACTAAAAGCTAAATAGCATGAATATCTCCAGAAACTCTAATCAACAAATTATATTTTTAATATATATATATATATATATGATTCTTAAAATTGAAGAAGATGAATCTGGTATCTTCATGTTCAAACATATTTTCAAATAATTTAGTTTGGCATCTAGCTGAAAAACAAATTAATCCAAGAATATTGTTTGGTAGCAGTATAATAAATCAATCAAATCTCAATAAATAGATAGCTTTAGACACGCATGAATATTGTCTAATAACCTGCACAAAGTCTTAGGCACTCCATTTGGATTACTTTGTATATTCAATATCTTTACTTTATTTTAAATAAATAGAAAAAGGTGCAAGTTAGATTATTAATATTCTACAAAAACTAGTATATATATATATATATATATTATATTGTAATATGAGTATGATCATTAAAGCTATTTTTACAGTTAAGACATTTGTAAGGAATTATTTATGATAGAACATAAAATCTTTTATTGTTTTTAGAGTGTCTTAGTTTATGTATTAGAAATCTAAAGATAATAAATGTTTTATAATGAATAATATTAAATAGGCTACAAAAAAAAATATCATTATATAAGTTGTGGGTGCTTTATATTCTAGAAAGTCAACATCTAAAACAATTAGATACAAAATAGTTCATGCTATACCAACTCCTATATATAAGTGATTGTTTGATTTTTAAAATTCTTTAAGGATAAATAGACCATTGCATCCAAATATTGGAATGAAATAGTATTTAGATAAACTTAAACAAGTTATAGATAGTTGATAGAATCACATCTTTTAAGATCAATAATTAGATTAAACTTTAGAAATTAAAAACATTTTTTTCCTTACAATCATCTTCAAACCTATTTCCTACTATACAGATGTAAAAGAATACACATGCTTTATTTGGTCTAGATCCATAAATTTTTTTGTTATGCCTTGTTAGTATACAATCGAGACTCTTATATTATAACAAACATCTTAATTTTAACCAAAACAATTACCCACCTCAAAAATCTATGTAACTAATTCAAAAGTATTCTAAATTTTTTAAAGTGTTTCTAAAATAATCTCTAAAAAATCGAAGTGAGAAGTTACCAAGTTCTTTCTAAGACTTATTAATGAATTAACATCTGATCCTAATCTTTAATATTACTGAAAAGGTATAGACCTACACAATAAAAATGGATAAACAAAAATATTTGGAATTGAATCTAAAGTACTACCAAATAGAATATATTATTGGAATTATACTTTTATTATTAGTAACACATATTATTTAAGCTCCAAGTACACAATAAATATATATATATATATATATATATATATATATATATATTCATATATATATGGCTCATTTAGCATATAATTATAGTTGTAAACAAATAGAAAAAGACAATCTGTTTCAAATATTGATATCCATTGTTTTATTTGTATAGGTGGAAAACAAGAAACTATTCTATAAAAGCTTGGAGAGTGCACATAGATTCAAAGAGTCTAAGACTAACCTACTTATTTCTTATGTAAATTAACATATAATTCCCAAAAATATAGGCCTTACAAAGTATTCTCTTAAAAAAAAATTGCATTTGCATGTGGTGTGTTATCTACAATTAAGAGATTTTGTACTATGTGGTCACTAGTTGGAGACATATATTAATAGACTATATTAATACTTTAATGATACTTTTATATTTGAGAATATATATATATATATATATATATATTATAATAATAATAAATAGCCTCTACATATGAAAAAGTAGTATGTTTCGGATTAATTGAGTATGGATAAATCACATGAAAATACCATGTTACAAAACAAAAAAATAACCTAATATGAAAGATATTTTTCTCAAGAGATGAGACAAAACAAGGAAAATAAGAAATATGGCTGGAATGAGAGCTAGTTTGACAATGAAATGGAATTTAAAGGTACATCCATATGACTTGAAAATTCATGAAAAAAGAAAAAAGGAATTTCATAGTTTAAAATTCCACACTTTGTAATTTATTTCATCTAATCAATACATTGGATATATTTTGTTTAACGGAAAAAAGACAAAACAAAAACAGATCTACATTGTTCCATACCAAAATTGAATAATTTTTTATTGCAATTGTTTATATCTCAAACACTAGTAATATTCTGGAGCAAATGAGTCCTTATTTTCAATAAAAAAAAATTGTATGTATATTAAAAATCGTGATATTATGTAGGATAGTAAGTTAATAGACCTTGTGCAAGAATTCTTGTGCTAAATAATGGACTATGAAGTAAGAAACTTGAAGATGGATGATAACAAAATATAGTATCTACTAATATCATTCAAATATTAGAAAATTTAATTTATTTTATTTTTGAGAAAATACACCTTTCTAAATATATTAAATCCTATGTTTATGACAATCTTCATTGTTGTCAAAAGTCAAAACCGTCTCACTTTCCAAGTTGTCCTTTTTCCCAAAAGTAGGCATATCTTTTATGTTATAATTTTACTTTAAAGTTACTTTTTATAATGATCCCACATGGTTCGTCCAAAAGGACCCCACCATGATCCATGTGCTACAGACCACCCACATCGTCCGTCGTGATGGGATCCAACGGTAGGGAGAAGCTTACGGTGCTGATGTGGATCCTCATCACCTGACGCGTCAGCTTCCAGGCTTTTGACTCAGCAACGTCTACCCCTACCCTCGTCATCCTCCTTTTTCACTTACTTTTTGCTTTTTCTTTACCTTTATCCTTTAATACTTCTCTCATGTTTCCAACACTAAAAGCTTCCCATGGTTACTTTTCACTTTTCTTCATTTCTCCATCTCTTTTTTCCTTTTGTGTGTTTCTAAAGGTAAAGAATAATAATTAAATGAAAAATATCTATGCTTGTGACACACTTCATCGAATGTAAACCCACATGGTATTTGGATCTATTTGGCTTCTATTTTCCCCATTAAAGGTTTACTCCACTACTTGTGTGACATACCACAAGAGCAACATTGCCCTAAAATTGGTGGAGAGGAGGGAGAGTTCCTTTTTCATGTGACGTGTTGCAATCTCTTCTTTTTTTGATAAAGGCGACACAAGAAACAAAAACAAATTTATATATCAACCAATCTAATCACAATGGATGTAGTCTTGTGTGCCTCATCAAAACAATGCAGTCATGGGTAAGAGGGAAGTCCCCTAATGACATTCAATATAAGCAGTGCATGTCCATTTTCTTGCCTCCCTTGAACTAAAATTCTTCAAAAAGAAAATATACAACGTCCACTTCTGTCTTGTGGGTTAATACAATGTCCTATAGAAGAAGAAGAAGACGAAGAAAAACGAAAAAACATAAAACAAAACGAAACAAAACAAAACTGCATGAGTTTCTCTATTATCCTGAACCATTCTTCAAAGTAATCCCATGAATTCAAATAACAAAGAAGCTGACCTAAAAAGTAAAAGTAGTTGACTGTGGTGTGTGCGTGGTAGTGGGCGTGAGAGCGGTATCAGCGGTCGCGAGCGGGCGTCGGCGCGGCGCGAGGATGGCGTGGAAGTGGATGACGAAAGCTGTAGGAGATCGAAGGAACTACACTGATGCGTTGGCAGGCAAAGGTGGACCTATCGAACCAGTTGGCGCACAATGCTTTCTCTCGCGACGCACCCACCTCACCAATTGTGATTTTTAAAGCGATTTGCTGTGCTTTCGACCACCTCGTGTTGTTTGTTGGAATCGTTCTGTCGACGTAGAGCTCGTGCATCGTGTTCCCAGTTGCATCCTCCTCCCCCAGTTGAGGTGATATCACGAAGCCTCTCAGTGTGGGGAGCTTTCGCCCGTGGCAACGAAATAACCGACACCCGAAGGCAGCAGCGTCAGGATCCATCGGGCGGTGAGAAACCAAAAAAATCGAATTTCTGCGACAGTGGTTGAAGGAATCCGGCGGCTGCTTTACCTTTCGGCTCCTCCCCCAGCATGGCCCATCATTGAACTGGTCATGTTGTCCCTGTTTCCGCGTCCGTTATGTAAAGGCTTCGTTGCTTTGCAGCCGTGACTCAATCACTCTGCTTTATTTGCGCTGGGGCTTGATAAGTTCCGTTTTCAGCCTTCGGTTGTGTAGATAGTTAGTCCCTCGTGTAATCGTCCTCCTCCGTCGCGATGGACATGTTGGTGCTGTTTCCGCTGGAGTTTTTGGCCAATTTTCCTGCTGGCAATCCGGTGCTGAATGTGCTGAAAGCGGGGAAAGACGTCGCTGGGGCGAAGAATCTCATTGCGGCGGTTGAGGAAGGCGAGGATTTGACGCCCAGTCGAAGACTCGAGGTTGCGAAGGCGCCGTCTCTGAGCTCCATGCCTAAGAAGGGACTTCTAGGATGAGGAGCTGTTGGGGCCATGGCCTGTCGCTTGTAACATAGTGATGTCTGACGGAGTATTCTGTATCTAGAATAATATTGGGGTATTTGCCAGGGGAGATTGTCTTAAGAGTTCGCCGCGAGCTCGGTGGCGGTGACACCAGTGCAATGATTTGCGCTTCATCAGCGAGTGCGAGAGTGGAGATGTCTCGGTCATCGATGCTTTGAGCAATGGCTCAGATCTACACCAACAAGGACAACTTCAACAGAATGTGGAATAAGAGGTAACGCGTCTCTCTTGTCAGACATCCACTTAGATGTTCAAAAAACTTTGACTTAATACTTCTCAGTGTGGAATTCGAGCACTTGTGAAGGTGTGCATCAATGCAGGATCACGTTTTTATTTAGTTTTTTTAGCTGTTTCTTTTTTTCACTGATGATGAGGAGGATTGTTCTGCAGATCCCAGCTTTCGGATCCAACTGGCAACGTGCTCTTCCAGCGCTCTTCATGGTCCGACAGTATCAGAATATTCGTGTAGGGCGTCGACGTTTGTACAGATCGTGACATGGTGTAAAAAGAAAAAAAAAAAAAAACTGAAACTGCAACCAGCAATCAGATCAGCGTGTGTACAAAGTCGTGTTATGTCCATAAGTTTGCAATTTTCTAGAGGTTTTGATTATTTATTCAGGCAGCGCAGTTATGATCTACACTTCTTCTCTGTTATGTGTACAAGCTGTACAAACAGCGGTTGACTGGAAGAGTTGCGCTATTGCACTTGTGAATATTCATAGTGTGTCGACTCAACTGTGCTTGCCGAACGCATCTCCTCTCCTACTTCTCTCCAAATCTCCTATCCTGCCTTTGCTTGCCTTTACTACCAGCGGCAACGGAGGTAGTTGTATGGGATTACAGTGACTCTGCGCAACTTGCATACAGTTGAGAGGATAGCAAAAAGTCGATGCCGATGCATAATTATTGCGTTGGAAAGTTTTAGCTTTAGATAAACAGATGCTAATTAATCAATGAAGAACATATAAACACGTATCACAATTCAAGACTAGGTGATGTGATAGATTGACTAAGAAAGAGGTGAGCAAGTAGACCTTGACATGGTTAAACTGATGAAGAAGTGAAGTTTTGTTGCTACAAAAACTAAGATGATAATTTGCAACTTGGGTTGTAACATCCTAATATGTTTTGTTAAATTAACGTTCACAATTTAAAGATACGATTGCTTTGATAGTGAAAAGTATAAAAATGAAGTTTCTTACTCAGGTGCAAAATTAATCTAGAAAATTAAAAGTTTTGATTTAGAAGCACCATTTAAATACATTTATGCACCATGTAACGATTTTCACGAGAATGCACTAATACAGTATTATTATAATTCTTGTGTGTTAATACATGCTCATTAGATTTCTTGGCAGTGACAAATCTAATGATGTATAATAGCTGCATAACCATTATGTAGTAGAGCGTATAAAAATATAATAGAAATTCAAATTACAATAAAAATACTTCCAACCACATACCAGAACAAAATAATATGTGAGGTACAAAATGAGAAGATTTCATGATTGTGTTTTTCAGCATCAACATGCAAAATTTAATTAATCACCTTTAAATGGATGCTTATTCTTTCCAAAAGTATGAAAAATAAATTAAATAAATGTTACTAAAATTTTGGAAAAAAATAAAAAATTACAAAAAAATCAATAAAAAAAACTCGAGATTCAATTGCATTAATTTCAGTATAAAATATACAAAAGAAATGAAATTATTACCTTTTGTTGCAAAATAAATAAGAATAAAATAAAATTAAAACATTCTACAAAACCATATCAACTTTTGTTATTTAATTTTTTTTGTATAAAAATCAAAAAGTAAAAATTTAACATTAGTGTATTGAAAGAGTTTTTACATATTTATGATGTAAATAAAAAAAATATTGCATTATCAATTAAATATTTTCTTACTATCTTTGTCATAGTGGGGATAAACTTTGGTCAAGGTTATGTTAGGCAAGGTTGTGATTTTAAACCTAGGATTTAATTGCCAACCCCTTTGACATTATTTTTGCATGTGCAAGTACAAAACACCATCCATTGTGTAGTTTAAAATCATTCCAAACCATTGTTAGTTGACAACTTCTAGTCACTATATTTGTGACTTGTCAACACATAATTGTCTCATCTTGTCAAGTTGTTGTATGACCTACCTAAATATATTTTCACATATCCATGAAACCTTAAAAACTTGACTAGTTGTTTGTGTGTTTACATTAAAACATTTATGTAGATAAAATATGGACTAGAAGTACAAGAATATAAATACAGATGTTAAAAATTCATGTTTATTTATATATATATATATATATATATATATACAATAACGTTTTGATGTTAAGAGATCCTTTTGGTACATAATTTTTCATCCTTTACTTTCAATTAATTTATAATCAATTTCAGAATTACATGTACAACTCAGTCATGTAAAGTTGGCCATTATTTTTAGTAAAACAGTGTCATATTTTTCTTGATCGATTGTAAAATCCTAAACAAATCACTTCATCACACCCACGTGCAGTTGAAAGACCACAAAGCATAAACTTGAAGCATGATGGAATCAATGCCAGGATGCAATCAAGCAACTACCAGACAAAAGGCAGAATAGATCAGGTTAAAATAGCTTGGCTTAATATCTATTTAAAAAAATAGACCGAGTGGCCAGAGTGCCTTGGAGCTGTTCATTCGCTTTCTGGAATCGCAGACTCTGCAATTGCCTTAATTACTAGCCACTACGAGGAAGATCGGTTTATTGGCGATCCCAACATGTGCAGAAAGCAAGTCTACCGAGACTTCACTTCCTGATATATTTAGCTATCGTTTCCGAATCTGGAATGCGAATTTCCTGAAGATTTTGAGAGAAATAAGAGGATTTGGCTACTGTCTACTCTACTGAAGCCTAAAATTGGGGAGCATATTTACCTGAGAATCAGATGCTTGCTTTCCTTGAATAAAAATGGCAGTAAGATGTGCGGTAGTGGTTTCATGCGAACCCACCTCCGACAAGAATAGTCTCCTCTGCAAGGTATGACAGACTGAAGAATAGGGTACCACAGAACTAAAGGATTTTTGGTTTTTCCCACTAGAGACCAGGGGAATAGTCGTTCGCTGGGTTATGATGCTGGGATTCTTTTCGACCTTGGAGATCCTGCTGCTGAATGCATAGTAACCAAAATATCGGGTGACGACAAAATTGGTAATGTGTGGTTGTAGTTGAAAGCTTTCATCACACCGTTGGGTTTTGGGCTGTGGGATCCATTCATGTACATCGCATCCGTCTTCACAGATTCCATCATCAACCTGTCGTTGACAACCACAAGGGATGATCAGAGAAGAGAAATGAAGTGATTCATGCAGATCAAAGTAACTCTCAAAGCCACACTAACTTCCGAATGAAATCAAGAAGCTAACATCCGAGTGATTGACGGCCCAAGTATTCTAGTGTAGGGACAAGTGGGGAGGTGCTAATCTGGATATAGAAGATGTTCAGGGCAGAAAAGAGTTGTTTACCCATGGCCGTTCGTAGATGAGCCGTTTTCTGATGGAAGGTGACCATTTGATAGTAGCTTCGATTTATTCACTACTGCACACACAGGGAGTCGTCCATTAGCTTGACTAAGAACGTAACATCGAAGAGACTGACTATACAGAACCAACGAAACAGAGGGACCCAATTTAAACAGGCCGTCTGCTACTTCAAGCAAATCCAGCAATCTCGACAAAATGAGATGCGAGGGAAAGCATCATACGAGATATGGCAACGCCATTAGAATGAGCAGATGCGATCGGACTGCCAAGACCGAGAATGCCCTGCAACATATGACAGTACAGGCAAAAAAAAATCTACTTTGAAACCGGAGATGCTGTATATATATATGGAGAACACAACCTCTACGTAGGAGATTCTACTGATCTCACATAAACCAACTGATCACCTAACACGTTAAGAGAAATTCAAAACTCGAAATCATGTTCGCAGCAGACTATGTACCTTGAGTTCTACGTATGCATGATCCAAATTAGCATTCACTAGGATGTAATCAAACAGACTAGGATCCTTGGCTCGCTCAAGCTCTTGCTTAGCGCCTCTTAATCGTTTCTGGATTTGCTCTTCTGACTCCGTACCTCTGACATCAGACATGAACGTCGTTAAATGGTCGACAACAAGTAACACAATGACTGGTCACATGGAGAACCGCATCGAGGTAAACCCCGGAATGGAATGGAATGAAACGAATATTGACACTCACCTCCCTCGAAGACGTCTCTCAAGCTCTTCCTCTTCGGGGGCTGGAGGCTTTATGAAAATATACTTTGCCTTCAAGGCACTCTTCTTCACTGCTTGGGCCCCTTGAACATCGATATCCAGAATACAGATCTTCCATAATATGTGACAAAGCGCATTGGAAAAATTTCAGCGAATCGTCATGTGAATTTCCAGCATCGACGCTTGTAATCGAAAGGATACACACTAACAGATCAGTAGTAATTGTACCTTGCCGGCGTCGGCCACAGCCTCCACTGCTGCCCAACTCGTCCCGTACAAGTTCCCATGAACCTCAGCGGACTCGAGAAACTTGCCTTCTGTGATTTCTTGCGTCATGACAGGGCGGGAAGCGAAATGATAATGCACTCCGTCAATCTCCTTCAAACGGGGATTGCGCGTGGTGTGGCTCACAGAGAAGCCAAACTTCTCGGGGAAGTCCTTCATCAACTTACCGATCAGCGTGCCCTTACCCACACCCGATGGGCCACAAATGACCACTGGTTGTGGCGGTTCCGCCACCATCAGAGTCTTCATGCCCATGATTCAATGAAGCACTACACAACCACCTTCACTCCTTGCCGTCTCAAAACAAAGCCCTTGTTGCCCTAACCTCCAAAAGCATTTGAAAACAAACACAACCCAGCACGTAATAGACCTCCGAAACGGATTCCCACAAATAGAAACCACCAAAGCAATGCCTCTTTACTAACGATGCACGCGACGAACCCTCGACAAGCTGACAACGATTAGAATGCGCGGAACTGTGCTGCCAGGGACCCCAACTCTGGGCACGCCCGTAAGACGAGCGTGGCTACCAAAAGGTTCGACACCCCGAGTAAATTTGTAGCACCCAAGTGGACATGGAGGGTGGACAACAGTTCAAGAGAAAAGGGGGGGGGGGTGTGTGTGAAGGGGACGAGGCAGTTACTCCTCCTCCAAAGATACGCGCCCAAATCCGCAAAAGCGCGGGAGGGGATCCCGACAAACTCAGCATAACCCAACAGCTACTCTCACAAGATGCGCCTTGAGCGCACCCACAATCCAATAAAACCTCTCTCTCACACAAGGCCAATCAATCTCCTCTCACATTCTTCTTTGCCTCTGTCTCGCTGCTGCTGCTGCTGCTGCTTTTCCACTCTGCTCTTCTACCCCCATGACACCCACCCACCCTCCTGTTTTATTATGACTTCCTAATCACGGGCTCTCAAACCACTGCCGCAACAGCAGCCTCATGAACCACCACATGAGGAATCAAACCCAACTCTCTCCCCTGGTTCCCCGTCCTCCCACTGTTTCGATTCGCCACCGAGGATTCCGGCGAATTCACTGAAGGACGCCTACTTTTACTATGCGTTATTTTATTCTCCCCTCCTCCTCCTCTTCTTCGACGTGGTGCGTGTTTTTTTAATTTTTTGTTTGGTTTTGTCCCTATAGCTGCTGCTGCTTCTTCAATATCTTCTTCTTCTATTTCTTCGTCGTCATTTTTTCCTTTCTTCGCTCTTCTTCTTTCTTCTGATTTTGTAAGTGAGTGTCGTGCATGTGAGGGATTGTCCACCCCACCACGTTGCGCATGACTATTATTCCACCCAATTGTGGCCCTTAGCTCCCACACTGCGCATGCGGCGACGTGCTTGCCGTGACGACGCCCCGCCATTGTAGGGCTTGTTTGGGTTTTGCTTTATCTGGTCTTCACAAATTCAAACATAAAAAAATAAAAAATAAATACTGCTTAGCACGTGCTGGTTTTTGTGGGTTACAATGTTAAAGTGCTACTCTCTTTCTTGTGTCGTAAAGATGTTGGTTAAAATATTGATTTAAAATTTCGAATATCTGAGGTTGAGACCGACTTTTATTATCAGAAATGCTGTTTTAAAATTAAAGTGTGATGTTCAATTTTAAAGGATTTTCCAATCTTTCGTATCTTTGAACAGTAACAACGTTGGAGTAACTGATAAAATTCTATTCATCTCTTCTTTTATTCGCCCCTTTTTGTTTGTTTGTTTTTGTGTGTGTGTGTGTGTGTGTTTTTTTTTTTTTTTTTTTTTTTTTTTGTTCTCATACATCTATTCCCCTTGTGCCAAAGAACAAGAGAGTATGTCTTAACTTCAATTTATTTATTATTATATTTTGACACAAATGAAAACGAGTTGCATTGCAGAGGAGGAATGATACAACAGCTCAGCTGTCTGCAGCCTGAGGGAACCGACAGAGTTATAATTAGTAAATATTAGTAATGACTAGCTATGGATTAGAGTAAGGGAGCCTGACAAAGCCAGTGATGGGCCGATGGTCAGCCCGAATTTTTGACTGAGAGGCTACGCTGGTTGAAAAACAAAACTATGACTGGGCCCAGATAAGATCCAGAGGGTGGCCACCCATGTTGCAAATATCTTAGTCTTACACCTCCCTACTGTAAAAATTGCGAACAAGTTTATCCTGTGTGGCCAGTGCCCACTTGCTTTTGGTCCTTACTTGCTCCCAGTCCACTCACCCATAATTGATAAGGCCTAACCAAATTCGTTGTAGTTTTGCTACAAGCAGTTCCACTCTAACCAAAGAGTTCAGAGAATGACTGTTCTAAATGCCATCCATGCCAGACTTATTCTTTGGAACTTCCAATGAATGCAATCAGAAAAAATGCCATGTTTCCACGTCAACAATGGCTAGGGCCCTTGAGCGTGTCGCAATGTGAGTAAAACATTCATGATGTGGAGGTCCCATTGCTAGGCAGAGGGACATTCTTAAAACTTGTGTAGGACGGACTCTTTAGATTGCCTATGGCACGTAGGACATCACATATCAATTGTCATGCTTACTTGATACTTGCTACATGTTCACAACTACTACCTTATGCCACACCAACCAAAAGAGACTTGCTTCCTTTGGGGTGCAACCTTTGGTCCAAATTAAAGACCAACATGGGTGGTAATCAAGCAGCAAGACACCCTGCCATTTTTGCTTAATCATATTCAGAGTGATGAATCTTTATTGAAATAAGCTTCTTTCCAATTTGGCCAAGAAGTTCACGAATGGAATTGGAAAGTCTTTTCTAAGCCAATGCAACTGCCCGAGATCCCAATCTACATTATCCACTCTATCATAGAATATTAATATTAGAGTTTTTTTGTAGACTACAAGGAGCGGAAATTACTCTCACCTTGTGCAAGGTGCCTTGGAAGTTGTCATGGAGGCTCTCATTACCTTATAGTAGGAGGGAAGGTAGAGATAATCTTAAACAAGGCGAGGTTGGCAAAACCATGAATAAGAAAATACTAGCCATAAGGGCCCAAACTCAAGGGGGGCCACTAAAGATTATTGATTGGCCTTAGGTGAAGCAGAAGACATGGCTTGATAGGTCATCAACATCTCCCAAAAACACCCCATCTACTCCTTGTCAAATGAAATAAGTGGAATTATATTAAATAATTACCCCTAGAAAATTGTGAGGCCAAACCGTATCTTAATCTCTACCATTGTAAAGAAGCAATCATCTATTCTAGCATTTTTGATATGCAATAAGTCTACCTAATAAAATTGATTCACCTTCGCTTTGGAGAAACCTGCTTCAATTTGGGGGGATATAAGACGACCACCGAAATGACTTATTCACGAGTTTATTGTGAATTCTAGGTTGAAACAGCATAGAATCTCTTGTGAAGGATTGTCAAGAAACTTCTATTCTATTCAAGATCTTAGAACCCTATTTGGCTTGAAAATTTGGTAGAATAAATAAGCAAAACTTGGAGAGCACAAATCTCCTTTGAAAGGTTAGAATTGAATCATCAACTATAGGTTTTAAGATCTAAGCTCACATGCCATGCTATCCATTTTGCCATCAATACAGTAAGTTCATCCATTGGATTTACAAAATTCAGTCCTCCTCGCTTGTAGCATTAAAGCCATATTAACTTGCTTCACACTTGGTGTAACAAGCTTGACCAAATATAATTTTGTATGCTTGTATGCACTTTTGATATCTCATACTTTGTACCTCTTCCCTCCTTAGATGGGTGCAAAGAAAAAGATGGAAAATAATAACACCTTGTTAATTATAACCTCATGGCACATGGAAATGATTTTGGCTAAGTACCAAAATTTGAATTTTTTTGTCAATCTGGGTCATTAAGAATTCATTGACATTGAGAGGCAAGAGAGGTAGGCCAAATAGTATGTCTAATAGTATGCTAACCGTGGCCTCTTACATCCAAGTTATACTAAGATGGTTAGTCTACGGAAGGTGATTGGAGGCATTGGTATCTTTCCAATAGCATCGGGATTTTTTCCAATTAAAAATTAACCCTAAGTTGTAGCAAAACATATCTAGTATGCAAATGGCATCCCAAGCCAATGCCTCTTCTCTACAATTGTGAAAAAAATGTCGTTGGTGTATTAACTTTGAACTTTGAAATTACATTTTATATCAAGCATGTGGCATGCTTTTTTTTTTTTTTTTAAAACAAAATCTAAATTTATCACTTCATATTGTTGCTTCATATAAATACAAATGTGTATAATTTTTAGTTATTTGTAGTAACCATAGCTTGGATATAAATATACATGATGAAATGTCTTGACAATATTGCCTCCCAAGTTTCTATGATTTCAAATGTCAATAATGTTGTGCATGTTTCATGTAACATTAAAAATGTCAAGTTTCAAGTAAATAGACAAGGACAACTACAACATAGAGAATTTGGTAGAGAATTCGCAAGTGAGATGCAATTTATAAAATAAAATAAATTAAATTATTTTTTTGTATTTATTGAAACTTCTTGGGAATACATATTAGTTCTGTTATTTGACCACCAATATTTCAAAAATATTTTGAGCAACAATTTGTTTCTTTGTTTTATTTTCATTTAAAATAAAAATATATAAATTACATTCAGTTTAAATCATTTTTTTTTATTATAGCACATATCAAGCTTCGTATCTTATTTTGAATATATAAATTACTCATAATTCATGACTATACTGTGCCTTATTATGTTATTTCAGAGAGAGTGTTTGTATGTAAGAAATATATATATATATATATATATATATATAAGAAAAGATTTGTGATTGATCAGATATTTCTATGCATGTCAATCTGGTCTTTATCTAATTTAGATATATATTTTTTTAAATACAAGAAACCATGGTTTACCACATTATATTCATTTATGAATTTGTTTATTTTTACATCTTCATATTGAAAACACTTTCTTTTTTACTTTTGAATAAAATTTTGAATAAAATTTTTAAGTAAATGCATATTGAAAAATTTATAAAAGTCAGAAACCTAGCTTTTGATAATAATAAGCAGTTTTGGTTACTTTTGGAACAAGTTGCTGCATCTATCATATTCATTATTTGACAGCATGATAATAATTCACTTTTTTTCTTTTTCTTCTTTTGAATACATTTATCAATCACTAAAAGTAAAATCAACTTATGCACTATTCATGATTTTAAATTCTGTTAAAGAAAAACTGTTGGGTTGTGAAATGATTAAGATAAACATCATCATTTTGTCCAATCCAAAACTTAGACTAATGATCACAATGTGTAAGCTATTCTAAAGAATGTAAAAATGTACTTGAAAAATTTCATCAAAGTATGGAGAAGATGCAATAAAAGTTATCTTCAACTGACTCACATGAAAACACCAATTTTTTTGTAAAAGAACACATGATGATGAAAGGAAAATTATGATTATAGATTTGAATGGTTTTACATCGAATTCCTCTTTGAGAAACAAATAAACTCCCAATTAATATCAAAATTAAGAACAAAAAATTGTACACAAGATCATTTGAATATAGAAGAGTTACCCCTTAGGCAACACACCACTTAGGGCTTTAAAACTCACAGGTTCTTTGCAATTTAAGATTTAAAATTTATGAAATTTTAGATTCATGATAATTGAAATAATTTTATATCTCAAATGATAGTTTCTTTGCTCATTATCTACTTACGAAGAATTTTTTTAATATAATGAGGTATGCATGGATTTTTCTTTTGTCAAACACTATTACAATATGCATCATTACTCACTCAATACTATTATTACTGTTATTAAGTTATTGATCCACAAAATTCATAAATTTAGTTATTTCCTGTGAAAATGACAATAATTTATTTTTTGACCTAATTATGTTTAATGGTATTGCTACTTCTGC